TGATTGCCAGAAGCAGGTTTGGGCCAGAATTCAGTGGTCGGCATTGCTTATTCCTAATGAAAAGCTCCAGGGATCCCTCATGGGCCTGTATTACAGTGTTTGGGGTAAAAAACATCATAATGCCAAACCGAGGAGTTATTTACTTTTACTCTGTCATCAAAAGCTTTGTTGAATAGTTGCTTTTCTAAGTTACTCGATTTTAAAAATTGAGGTGAAGGATACATAACAAAATTTACCATTTTTATCATTGTTAAGTGAATTCAGTGGCCTCGAGTACTTTCACATTATTATGCAACCATCTCCAGAATTTTTCATCTTCCCAAACTGAAACTCTGTACCCATTAAATAATAATTCTCCATTCCCCTCACCCTCAGCTCCTGGAAACCACTATTCTACTTCCTGTGTCTGTGAATTTGACTGTTCTGGGTACTTCATAGAAGTGAAATCCTACAATTTTTGACCTTAACGTGTCTGGATTATTTCACTTAGCATGATGTCCTCAAGGTTCATCCATGTTGTTAGCATGTATCAGAATTTTATTTCTTTTTTAAGGTTGAATAATATTTCATTGTATGCACATGCTTCATTTTGTTTATTCATGCATCTGTTGATGGACACAGGCTTCTTCCACCTGCGGCTGTTGTGAATAGTGCTACTACAAACATAGGTGGACAAATATCTGAGTCCCTGCTTTCAATTGAATGGTTACTTTTTAACCTTGCTATACTAAACTGCTTTACTCCTGTTGAATTGACAGCCAGCTTCCCTCAGAAGCTAATCAGTTAAGTCCTTTTTTTCTCATCCTTATGAGACAATCAGACGGAAAGAAGGGTAGTGCCCAGCATCACCATCTCTGTTAACAACAGCACTAAAACAGGAGCCAGCCTTTCAGTGATTACGGTTCTGTGATTGTGTGTTTTCTCTTAGAATTTTGTATCCGTTATCCATTTGAGTCATAATAAAGTAGCCTGTCATTTTTTTCTTAAAATATCTGCCTTATTTGTCTAACATATGTGGTATTTTATAATTTTAAAAGTTTGGTTAAAAATAAAAGCAACATATATAAAAGGAAATACTTTTGTCTGTGCTTTTACTATGGAAGTTTATTATACATACTTTAGTTATTTAAGGCTTGCATTTCGGAGAGTTAGCACGTATCAGTTGGTTTTCAGACTGGCCTCAAGACCCCTTTTTATTCTTAAAACTTGTTTAAGACTCAAAAGAACATTTGTTTATGTAGGCGTTAGCTGTTGATATTTATAATATTAGAAATTAAAACAAATTTTAAAAATTTACTGATTCATTTAAAAACAGTTAAATGTTATAGTTTTTTTTTTTTTATGAAAAATAACTGTGTTTCCTAACTAAAAAGATTTACTGAGAAGAGTGGCATTATTTTACATTTTGGAAAAATATCTCTGATTCCTGACTTAGTGAAAGATAGCTAGATTCTTTTATCTGCATCTGCATTCAATCTGTTGCAATATGTTATTTTTATTGAACTGTTTGAAAGAAATCTGATCTCACGCAGATATATAGTTGGAAAAGGGAGGAATATTTTAATAGCCTTTCAGATAATGATGGATACTTTTCTTTGATACTATACCAAAACTCAACAAGTGGTAGTTTCTTAAAGGTTAGCAGCAATATAGAATTTTAAATATATCAGTGAATTTTTCAGTTATATTAAAATCCATTTGTCTTTCTTAAACCTCGAATGGCTCTTTTACTCAAGCATAGTTTGTATCATCATACATTGGTGATTTGGAAAATATTGGTTCACCAAGTCATGCAGATTTTCCAAACATTGACACACTGTGAAATACGAACTACAAATTAAAAATTCACTCATTAATATCACCTCCAGTCACATACAGAATGTCTTTAAATCTTGGGGAAGCTATCATGCTCGTAGTGATAGATGCTGGTTTTCCCCAATTCTAATTTTAACTTGAAATACAACTTTTATTATGGGCAACAAATACTGTCAAGTTTCCTTAAAGTGACAGGCTTACTTTGTTCCTGTTGGAGAAAATGTCTGCCAAGCACCCAAGCCTGAATTACCATAAATTGTCCTTTGTTCTTTCCAGTAAACATGGTATTCATGAAAAAAGCAACTTGTTCAGCTTGCAGCTTAAGCTGTAGCCTAAGTGCTCTTTATCAGGGTTACCATTGTTCTCAGGTAGTTAGCAGAAATGCTTTATGTGTAGTTGCTATTTTGAAACAGAATTTTAAATAGCCATGTATATAGTCAGTGGTGAAGGGGTAATAAAATTAAGTTTTACTGCTGCATCAAGATGTTCTTGAGCGAAGCTAGCATTTAAGAAAGCATCCGATGAGTTCTGGCACAGTTTGGCGCCAGTGCCTTGACTGGTGTTGAAGAGCCGACCGTTTGACACACCATCACTTTTGCACCGTCGATACAAATTGTTGACACAATGAAGAAAGCAGATAAAGCCTTAATATTATTATGAAAATAATTTTGACCTCGTGGACCCCTTGGGGGCGGGGTCGGGGAACTGACAGTCTACATGCCGCATTTCATGTGGATGCTTTAATAATCATGAATTATGCTCTTAAAGAGTTTAAAACCCATCCGTGTGTGTAGCTGGGTGTTGAGCAGTTATGTTTGCTCTTCAACTGTGACGCTGCCCGCAAGCCAGAATGGGGACCAAGGTATTATTACCCCCTGGCACCAGCAGCTTGGGAGGAAGAACGTGGCGTTAATTTCAATTTTACAGCATTTCGTTTTCACTTTTTCCTTAGGTACAGGTGCTTCCTGAGAGATTTTCGTTGTTTTGATTTATGGCACGTAGAAAATATATATACTATGACTCATCTGAATTTTATGTGCAGCTGCTGCCTGGCTCCTGCCTGTCCTCCCACTTTTACTGAGTACCTAGTTCATGCTAAGTGCTACACCAGACACGAGAAAGATAGGCTTCCGGCGTCCGTGAGCGTAGAGGAGAGTGCCCGAATGCAGTGGGTGAGCACGGCTGCCGGTCAGTGCAGGGTGTCTGGGGGTGTCACAGGAGGTGCTGTTGTAGGTGGTGGTGAAGGAAGCGTTGGGCCGGCTTGGCAAGGGGGCAGTAGGAGTGGAGACATGAAGGAGAGGAAGGACACAGTACTTCGGGGCGCAGGGAGTGAACACAGGCTGGACGTGGAGGCTATGGTAGGAGAAGAGAACAGGTTGAAATCAGATCATAAAAGGTCTTGCTGGGACTTGATCCCATGCACCAGTGGTTCTCAAAGCCTGGTCCTCAGACCAGCTGCTTTAGCGTCTCTCGGGAACTTGTTAGACATGCAAATACCTGGGCTTTCTGCGGGGTATTTTGGCTGGGGCTACGCCGTCTGTCTCACCAGCCCTCCGGGGGACTGCGCAGGCTAAGGGAAGAACAGTCCGGGCTCTTTGAGCAGCTCTGAATTTTAGAAAGGTCACTCTCAGGGCCCTCTGGAAGGGGCCTGGTGAGGGAAAGTTAGGGACCGAGTGATCCGGTGTTCTGGTGGCTGGGACGTGGGACTGGGCCGAGGGCAGTGGGAAGGCGGAGTGGATGGGTTTCCTGGCGGTAGAGTCCATAGCACTTTACTGCTAGTAGACAGTTTAAAAGCTGAGCAAACAGCTGTGTGTTGCTCTGTAACCTGCCCCCAGTCAGGGGTGGAGGGGTTTTGAAAGCCCTGCTGCCATGTGTCTTCAGGGAACATCTTTTACTGATAGTGAAAAAATCAGTTACCGATAGTGAAAAAATAGCCTCTTCAGTCTCCTTTCGGAGCTTGCCTGCTTAACCAGGACCGCGGCCTCTGGAGGGGTCAGGTGGCACCTTCAGAGCCTGGAGCTCAGAAAGGACAGCAAAGTGTGGGAGGACGGAGGCAATGATTTCATTCAGCTACTGGTAGATTAATAGATGGTCCCTGGCATTCAGACTCCTCGTGTCGTGTGTCTTCTGTACATGGGCGAGGTGCACCCTTTTGCTGTTTGAATTTTAGCTTCATCTGATATGTGTGAGTATAAAGCTGGGTCTCTCGTTTCCATCACAGTGATTATTCTGTTAGAACCTTTGTTCTTCAGCATTTTAAGTTTTCTTTTATATCCTATTTTGTTTTACAGATTTGGAAGACTCCAGGGCCCTCAAGCTGTGATTAATCAGATGGTTTCTGAAACGCCTGGGAAAGCAGACGCGTTGTGTGCCAGTTGAAGAGTGGATGTCTGTGTATATTTAAAACCTTCTTTCTCCACATGCGCATTTCCGCGAGAAGACGGGCTCGTTCTGGTGCACACGTGAAGAGTTTTACAACTGATGAAAATTAATTTAAGAATCAGATGGAGCAACTTGACACCGCTGGGCTCAGGGGCTCAGGGAGAAAAATATATCACTAATGGCCAATTTTCCATATGGTCTTCACGGGTAAAGAAAGTTTGCAAAAAGAAGAAAAAAAAACTTGCACAGATCAAGCCTCAAAAATACCTCTCCAATTTGAAGAAGGAGCTAAGTGAGACGGTGACTGAGGGGGAAGTGTGATTTCAAGCACTGAGGTGGGATCAGGCAGTGTTCTTTTGCACTTTAATTTTCAGTGAGTTTGGCGATTTGGACAGACTTCAGAATTCTGGACTGACAAGTAACTCCTGCTGTGTGGTTATGATCGGAGGACAGCCAGTTCAGGTTTGATGGGACAAGTTTGAACGGTGAACTGATTCCTTTGCCTTTTTCAGTTGATCGCAATCGAGAAATTTTAATTTATTATTTCCCTTTTCCTTTTGTGTATCTATAGGGTAATATCTTAAAGTAGCAATTGAAACTGACAATTACAAGATAAATATCCAGGAACGTCCAGGCAAAGCTGCTTTTCCTTGGACTGTGCATGTGGCGTTTGGAAACCTTCTCTGAACGCGAACAGGAAAGGACCAGCAGCAAAACGGGATAACTCTCGAGGGGAACAGTGGGAAGGAACCCAGCCCTTGCCTCTGTTTTCATTTTAAGGGCTTCTCTTTTCTGTTGAGTCCAAGAAGACTTGCACATAAGAGGAGGCTTACTGGATGGACTTACTTCTGAGATTAGTTTTTTCTTTCGAGGTGAAAAAATATGTGATCTTTAGGGGCAGAAAGGGGAGTGACTAGGGGAGGGAAGAAGGAGACGGGGCAAAAGAGACTAAATCCTGCAGTGAGGCTCTGTTTTGTCAGCAAGAGGATTTAGGATTCACCTGAGGCGAACACTTGGACGACTTTCAGAGCTCTAGGACGTTCTGGCTCTGCCGAGTGAAGGGGCTTTCTCTCTGCGCCTCTATGGCACTGAGGGCTGCGTGGGCCTGCGGGGGTGCAGTCAGATGGAGCCCGGCTCTCCCCGGGGACACAGCCACCTGCCAGGAAACCGGCTTGGGCTCTGAAGTGGGATGTTTCTGGTTCTGAACAGCAGGAAAGAGTCTTTTTTTCTTCCTGAACTTGGACTGCTGTCTGCACAAACTCTGGTCGTTTTGCACGGTTTGTGTGCCTTTTTTTCCCTTTATGCAATCTTTTTCAGCTTTAGCAGCAAAAATTGTCTAGTTGCGAAAACACAGCAGAGGGCAGCTTCAGAAGGAGGATGATCCCATGTTTGTCTCTGCGCCTGAACTTTTGAAGAGAAAACTCCAGCTCGAGGGATTCTTAAAGCCTTAAGTTACTTGAAATCTATGTATTTGCAACCTTTGGTCTCTGGAATCATATTACACTAAACTGGAATCTCAGGCTGAGTGAGAATAACCAAGCTGAGTAAAAAGAAGAAAACTCAGTTTCTTGATCACCGTGTATTAACCATGCTCTTTGTGCAAAGGGCAGGCCTGCTCTTCCTCTAAGGACTTGAAAATAGAAATGGACCCCGTGTTTTTTTAAGCATTACCTTTTCTTAGCAGACTGCCATCTTTTATAGAGGAATTTTTTCACTATGCATTTGGTGGATCTTTATAAAATACTGACCTTCTAATTAGATCCAGGTCAATCTTAATTAAAGGGAACCGGGGGAAAACAACGCAAGCCAACCACAAAAATAGAATAAATCGATGAAAAGAATTGATTTAAATTTTTCGGCATTCAGCATTACTTTTTAAGTGAAACAGTTCCCTGAGAAAAGTATGTATGCAGCGGTGGAGCAGGGGCCTGTCCTTTGCAGCGACTCCAACATCCTGTGCCTGTCCTGGAAGGGCCGCGTCCCCAAGAGTGAGAAGGAGAAGCCCGTGTGCCGGAGGCGCTACTACGAGGAGGGCTGGCTGGCCACCGGCAACGGCCGGGGCGTCGTGGGGGTGACCTTCACCTCGAGCCACTGCCGCCGGGACAGGAACACTCCCCAGAGAATCAACTTCAACCTGCGGGGCCACAACAGCGAGGTGAGCCGGGGCGCCCTTTCACTGTCGTCTGGCCCCTCCCAGTGGGGGTTTCGAGCCCCCCTGCTCCCATCTGCTCGAAACTTACTTTGCTTCAGCTTCTTAGACTGGCTGCCAGGTGAGGCTTGGCAGACCGTGCCTTCTGTCCTCTCTGTCCTCTCTGTCCCTGTGGGAAGGATAAGCGGCGGGGCACCGGGCCACCTCTTAGGGACCAGGGACCGTACCTCACTCCCCTCCCACCACAGTGAGCAAGCTCCTTGCTCCACCTGACGTGTGAGAGCTCTGGTGAGTGAGGGGGTGTGACGAGGACATGGCTCCGCTTCTGGCCGCAGGGCTGAACCACATTGCAGATGTCGGATCTAATGATCCGCTGATTTCACAACTGAAAAACTTGAGAATGTTTTTCTCCTAGAAAACAATTTTTACAGATATCATCAGTCATGGAAGTTAGTCATGGGTGGTACTGATTCTTTGTTTAACAAGATTTTCTTCACTTAAGAGCAGACAGGCAGCCATGTGTGTTTACTGGAATTAGTGTCATTATAGGGACACGGCCACTACAGGAATGGTCTCACCTGGATTCCTGGATTTGGCCACTTCTCTGAGAAGCTTTTTCTGAGCCCTGTTCCCCATCTCCTGCCCTGTCCCCCACTTGCCCCTCTACACCGAGCAGCCTTCTGTGGTTGCTTTATGGTTACCTACCTGTGTGGGCTGGAAAACTTCCTGGAGGACTGACTGTCCTTGGCGGTCTTAGCTTCCTCACCTCCCATTGTTTACAAGATCGTTTCTTCATTCGAATCACCTTTAACTGGTTAGCTTACTCAGTGTGGCTTCTTTCCCCAGCCCTCTACTGAAATGGTCACATGCCCAGTGACCTCATACTGCTAAACCCATAGATTACTTTTCTGCAGTTGATGTCTCGGTGGCATTCAGTGGAGTTGAAATGTCACTTTCCGCTTCTGGTTCTGTTTTTCTGCGTCTCTCTTCCAAGAAGTTCTAGCGCTTACCGCTTAACTAGCTGGTGTGGTCCTGTCCGAGTCGTTAGTTTACTCATGGCCAAATTGAAACAATTCCTTTCTTCAGAGCTTTTGTGAGAATCTATTTTTGAAAATGGCGAATGCCATGAATATAAATAACGATGTTAAAGCACCTCGTATCCTATTTATTTTCCAACCCTTATGATATACTTAATACCCTTAAGTTCAGTTACTAGTCTGACTCATGAGGCCAGAGACCATGTGTTTTGATTTCTGTTTCACAGTTAAGACTCAAAAACACGTATGCAGTCAGCAGATATTACTGCATGTGTATCGCGTGTGCCCCCTATGGGGCGGGGTAGGTCATAGCACGCCTTAGGAGGCCACAGTCCAGCAGCAGGGCCGAGGGGCGTACCTGGATATCCTCTTGTCCATTTCTAGTTCCGTTAAGTGCAGAGAGCAAGCTTTGGGTCCTTGGAGGAATTAAAAGCGAGGTTTACCACATATTTTGTGGTGAAGGTGACCTTTGAGTGGGGCCTTGTGAAATAGTTAGAATTTAGATAGACTTCTGAGTGATGCAACTTGTTGCCACATTCTAGCTTCAGAGAAGCAGTTTGTCTCTTCTGTGTGACATGAAGGCGTCGTGTTTCCCTTGGCTTCAGCCTAAGCATGTGACTGTATTTACCTCGTCACGTCGGATGCTTCCCAGGAAGACGCAGTGGAGTCAGGCTGGATGAGGGCAGGGCTCGTATATTTTTTGCCTTCCCTGGGACCAACTTGCCATTGTTGGACAGGCAGTTGGTGTTCTTTGCTCCTTTCCCCTATGCTGTGAAATGTTTGGGGATTCGTAATGGGGATTCCACCCTTTGGGGTATTCTGCACTTTGGTCAGTTTCAATGGTGGAAGGCTTAACCAAGGTGCTGCCTTAATACTTTGACTTATGCAATGCTCAGGTGCAGCCGTTTCTGTGCTTAATGGATTTGCATGCAGTTGTGGTTAAGTTTGAAAAGTTACATTCCCATGTGTTCATGACCTATCCGAATTAAAGATAATTTGTTAGTGACTTGGCACAAATGACTCACTTTATGTGGCCGCCCTGGTGAAGCAGCCATCTCACTGATTTATGTGAGGATATTTTAGCATGTTAGGTGATAACGTCTTGCTTCCTTCCCAGGTGGGCCCTTTAGGCGTTCCATCATGTAGGCATGTGGCGTCCAGCACTGGTGGACCCAGGAGCTTGTCCCGTGCCTGCCGTCAGCGGAGGGACGCTCTCCTCACGATCGCGTTGCAGGTGTAATGGGCGATGAAGCTCAGGGCTGTCTGTGGAAGGTTCACGGCTTTGATGGTGTGCACAGCGTATTTCAAAGCTGCACAATGTTTAAAGATAGGAATTCCAAAACCACACTTTCTCAGGCTTTCCTATACTTTTTTGCAGATAAACTTTGACTGTATTAAAAGTGAAACTAGTGATGGAAACTTACCTAGGTTCATATCCTGGAAAGGAATTTAAAACAATAAAATCTACCTCCTAGAGTTTGGTGGATGCTTCATTTTTATCTGCCAGCTTTAGTAGTAAAGATTTCTTGAGTAGGAAAAACAGAATTAAAGAATTTTCATAGTAAGACTGGGAGGATGGAGCAATATATGAACAAAGTAAATGTGATGTTTTAAAAATAGATTTTTAAATTTCCTGAACACAGGCATAGTTAACTTGGTTTTCATGGCAGGAGCATCTTCATGTTTAGACTGGGCATGAAAACATAGGTGGGGGGGTCCACTGGGGTGCAGAGCACTGAGTCAAGCTGGGACTGGCGCATGTGGGCCAGAGCTGTTGGTAAAGCTTTCCGGGGGTGCTGGAGTGGGGCTTGGGGCATGAGCTGCATCTTGAAGCCCCTTAGGCTTCTGTAAACACTTGAGTATCCACGCGAGGCTGGGCTCCGCTGGGCTTTGGCATCACGATGAAGAAGGAGCCAGTCCTGCCCAGCTGACCTGCGTGTCAGAGGATGCGATTGCACGGAAATGCCGCTGCTGCTGCTGACGGTCGCTGTAAGTTAAATGGCCACAATTTTCTGTGTGCTTTATGTTCGTTATTTTGTTTAACCCTCATAACAATTCTCTACAGCTTTGTTTTATTATCCCTGTTACACAGTTGAAGAATCTGAGGTTCAGAGATGCTCTGGAAATTGCCCAAAGTGTAGAGTTAGATGATCAAGATGGCAGACCTGGGATTTTAATTCATGTCTGTGTGTTTTTCTTTCTACGTGACACCGCTTCAAAAAAGGGTAAACCAGTAAGCGGAGAAACAGAGTTGTTATGAGTGACCATGGCATGTTTTGTGGACAGTGAAGAGTTTGGTCAGGTGCTGGAGATTACTGCAAGGTAAAGCTGCTTGGGCCGGGGAGACTGGACTCTGGATAGTCATGGTAAAAAAAAAATAATAGTAATAAGTGTTCGTAGGATGAAAGAAGACAGTGCTTTCGGTTTGGGCGGCATTCCAAGACCATTAAAGATTGTTGTATTCAAATAGAAGTGTTGAACAAATCATATGTAAGCATAAAAATCAGTTCAGTGCATTTATCTACCAGTGTGGCTAATTGGGAGTTGACAGCATTGGATGTATCTAATTTATTGTGGTTATAATAATCTTCAAGAAGTAGTATGAACACCAGTTGCCACGATACTGTGATAGTGGACCTAGTTAGACTCTTGAGACAAGAATGTAACTAGTTATTATAGACGGGAGGTGTTTGAGAAACAGCTGTTTTAAATGTTTTCACCTAAAATGGCTTATCTAATATTTTTATACCAAAGCTTGGTAGTGTGAGTTGATTTTTATCACAGTAATACTTGCACGTGGATAAATGCTAGTGATGAAGAGCAGCACTGTTCTAACTCCTGTTTCTCTCCTACCTACTTCCTGTCCTGGCTGTTCACCAAAGGCTTATATTTTCTTTTCTTTTAATCAGTTTTGGAATTTTGTGTATTGATGTCTTTCCTATCTTGGTAAGTGGAGATTTAGCTCTTCTCTCTTTCTTTCTTAGTCATGCAACCCAGCTTTTCCCTGCTACCTAATCATCCCAGTATTACTCTGTTGTAATAATTGGTTAACTCATTATTTAAGCTGTGTCAGTATTGTGCCCAGGTGATCCAAGTAGAGTACTATGATTATATTTCCTTTATTGTTTAGCTCTTTTTCTCTCATGATAAAAATTGTCTTATTTTTTCCAGTGATTTAGTTTCTTTACCTATTGTGAATCTTCCTGCATCTGCAATCATTTCTAAATATTCAAACAATAAGGTGATTTATTAGTTCTTCTGTTTTTTTCCTGGAGCCCTCCATCCGGGAGTCCTCTGTCCCCTGCTCTCTCCGGGTTGGTTGCTCAATGGGCCTGATGCCCAGGTGAATCCCTGAACCTCCTTTTATCATCATCTTGGAAATTCCCGCTGCCCCTTACTTCTGCCACATCCTTTGTTTCCTGAATCTTTTATCTTTGTCTTTCTTTGTTTAACTTCTTTTTGTTGGAACATAACTTAAGTATGGTCCTACGAAAGAATTTGTAAGTCATGATTTTTAAGACTTGTATATATTTTCGATCTATGGTTGGGAATCTGTGTATGTAGGGGGCCAACTTAAATTATGTGTGAATTTTTGATTGGGCAGGGGTTGTTGCCCCTAACCTCTGTGTTGTTCACGGGTCAACTGTATGTCTAAAAATGTTTTCATTCTGTCCTTATTCTTGATTGATAGTTTGGCTGGGTATAGATTTCTAGGCTGGTTCATTCCGAAATTTGAAGGCATTTTTCCATAGTCTTCAAACTTGTAGAATTATTATCGAGAAGCATAGTAGTTAAGAGTTTAGTCTCTGAAGCTAGACTCCATTTGAATCCTAGCTTTAAGCACATTATTTAATTTCTCTGTACTATAATCTTCTCATTTTTGAAATGAGTTTATAAATAGTACTTTCCTCATACAGGGTTTGGTGTATGGATTAAATTACTTACTATATGTAAAGCATTTAGAACAGT